CCTATTACCGTAAGAACGCGAGCGTTACGTTACCGCCACGTACCGCTGGGGAGGTAGGGGTCAACATGTCACAATAGCTTTACCCTTTTTAACTGTAATGTAGGAGCCAGGATTGCTCAGTCATTGTAGTGGCTGCTGTGTGGGATTGTTGTCTGAGAAATCAGGGTTCAGTTCTTGGTGGAGACAATTTTCTGTTCTCCACAGGACCCAGATCGGCTCTGGGGCCCACCAAGTGGGTAATGAGATCACGTCCCTTAGGGGTTAAGTGGCCAGGCTATGAAACTGGCCACTCACCTCCATTTAGTGCAAGTTTAAGAAAGCTTAGAATAAGGCTGTGCTATAGCTCAGGTGGTTACTTGGTTGCTTCCCATCACAGTGGGCCAGGTTCAATCCCAGGCCAGGTTCTCCAAAGTGGCACTGGGTAGGTTTGCTCTGAATACTTTGGTTGCCCATGTCAGTTCTCGTTCCACCAACTGATTCACATCCATTAATCATCTGACACTTACGTAATTTTGACACTGAAAGCATTGTTGAATAACTAACTGGAAGGAAAGCATTTGTAGACTAAATATGTTAGTCCATAGGTAATGCTCTGGGGCATATATTTGGGACATGTTTTGTTTTAATGTTGACTGGGATTCCAGCTATACTGAGATTTTTCTTGATTTTCCTTAGTCTCTCAGGAAAATACTTGGACAGTATCTCAGTTAGGCAACAGCCACAACCTTCAAAATCCTTGCCAATTCATTATTTATGAGTCCCACCATTTAACATTGTATTGACTAGATACTACAAGGTGTGTCCCAAAAGTCATGAAATATATTTCTTTCCCGCACTCCTACTGGTCAGAGCGCACTGGAACCGGTTGGGTTGGGGGGGGGAGGCCTTTAGCTTCACAGCGCGCCCAAGGTCAGTCTGCTCGAGCATCGGAGGCGTCAGTATCGCTGATTTAGTGCACCTGTGTTTTGTGACCACGTCACGGCGCGCAATGGCGGATACTTTCGAACAACATTGGGTGGTCAAGTTCTACACAAAGCTCAACAAAAAAGCTGCTGAAACTCACGAACTGCTTAAGTAAGCCTATGGGGAGTCTGCTGTATCATATGTGCAAGTTACAAGGTGGATGAAGTTTAAGGAGGGCCAGGAAGGAGTGGAAGATGACCCCCACTCTGGATGGCCATCAACAAGCCAAACCGATGAAAATGTGACTCGTGTGCATGATTTGTTGAATACTGACCGTCGAATGACTGTCTGGTTGTTAGCCGACACTCTGAACATTCCAAAAACCATTGTGCATCGCATAATTATGGACGAATTGAACATGCGAAAGGTGTGCGCCAAGCTGGTCCTCAAATTGTTGACAGACGAGCAAAAGGCCAATCAGTGTTGATCGCGAGTGCTTGAAGGAACATGTGGAAATTGAACCTCATTATTTAGACTGTGTTATTACCGGTGATGAAACATGGACATTTGAGTACGACCTAGAAACGACGCGCCAGAGTGCTGAATGGCACACCTCGGCTTCCCCGAAACCGAAGGAGGCGAAGGTGAGCAAATCCAAAGTGAAAACAATGCTCATCATCTTTTTCGACGCCAAGGGTGTGGTCCACAAAGAGTTTTTACCCCAAGGACAAACCGTCAACGCTCCCTACTACATGGATGTTCTAGAAAGATTAAGGAAAAGGGTCATCCGCGTGTGAAAAGACATTGCTGCTAACTGGCGGCTGCATCATGACAGTGCGCCCAGCCACATGTCTCTGCTCGTCCGTAAGTTCCTGGCGAAGCACCACGTTGCAACGCTGCGGCAGCCACCCTACAGCCCCGACCTAGCTCCGGCCGACTTCTTTTTGTTCCCGAGGATCAAGACTCCTTTCAAAGGACGCCGTTTTGAAAGCATTCAGGCTATCCAAGCGGCCGTGACAACAGCTTTAAATGAGGTTCCCATCGAGGCCTTTGAGGGGGCGTACCGGGCATGGAAGAGTCAGTGGAAAAAATGTGTATATGCTCATGGACAGTACTTTGAAGAATATTAACACTTCGTACCGATATCAATAAATTTAATATATATATATAT